CTCTCTCTCTCTCTGTCTCTCTGGGGACGAGGTTGGTCCCTCTCAAGAAAGTGGGTCAGTCGGACGAGGGAGCCTGACCTTTAATTCGAAGTGGATTTGAAACGATTTCCTCACTGCACGCTACAACTTATTTATGCATTCTTCATTGGCCAAAGATATTTTGTTGAATATATAATCAGAAGAGGTACTTTCCATTTCTCTTGCTCGTTATATAAATGATAATATATGACACGGTTTAAAAGCTCACTGCAGTGGCTTCACAATTTCCACAGTGTGCAGACTATCCATTTTCCAAGTTGAGTGGCTTATAGCCACTTTGATAGATTGACGAAAGAAAAGACAGCACTATACATACTGATCCCCCCTTTTGTCTTTCTCTCTCTCTCTCTCTCTCTCTCCCCCCCCCCCCCCCCCCCCTTCCAAGTGGCTCCAATAAAACCACTCCACGTCTTTTTATCGGCATTGTCATATAGAAGTCACGTGTGTCCAACTACTTTTCGTTCTCAAGCGAAACTATAGCTACCACCCACTGGAGCACCAGGCCGTCCCACATGCCCACTATATAAGTCATAGTTCCTTTTTAGTTTAAATCACATGCAATCGGTCTATACTAAGGCAGCGTAAACAATACACCGTAGAAATTTGAAAACACAGCTCTATTACTACGGTTAGGCCTACCGTCCACACTAATCCGTCAGGAAAACTGACTTTTGCGAAAACGCTCTTCAAACTGGAGGAATTTGAAAACGCCGGCTTTTCGTTTTCGTGTGGACGGAACGTATTTTGAAAACGGACCCTTTCGAAAACGATGGCGTCACGATAATCATACGATTTCCCTGACCGAGTTTTCCTCAAACACAAATCGCAAATGAACGATATTTGCTGCGTTTTTAAAATCTTCCGGTGTAGTGTGAAGGGAAAACATTTGCTGCGTTTTCAGAGTGAAACATCGTTTTCAAATTCTTCCGGCGTAGTGTGAACGGGGCCTAACTAAGCGTTACACTTTGGTAAAGTCATGCGTGCTGGCTATACTCTGCAGCCGCCTCATCAGTGATGTCGGACAAGTCGGTCACAGAAAGTTCAGGCTCGTTTAATTCCTTTAATTTCCTGGCCTCGAGGCATTGTCTGACGATTCTAACGGCTACCATTCCAAACATCATTAAGGGAATATAAGCCAGCACACAAACGAAGACTTTCAAACCTAACCTGGTGTTAGACGACAAGCTCCCGTTGATTGGTGAACTGAATATGGCAATCAACGAAAGCGTTGCAAGAAGGGCGACATCTGACTTGTTGATCCATTCGTAACTTTCCTCGTCTTCTTTCACATCAGCAGCTTCCTTGTAGGGCCTCAAGAATGCAAACGTCAGGAGGATCACGACACAGGCACTCTCCAGCACGGCTCTCTTTATGGCACTCGCAGGCACGAAGGTGGAAATAGCCAGGAGAACGAATCGGCAGAGGAAGTAGAAAGCTGCACACCATCGAAACCTGTCCTTGAAGCAGTTCTGAAGAGCATCAAATATCGGCTTCCATCGATTGAGATTCAACACCGGGAACAGGCCACGGGTGAGGGAAGGGCGAAACAAAAGAACCAATGGAAATGGGACAACCACGATCAAAATGTACAGGATTGCCAATAATCCGTACGCAATATGCTTTCCGCTGAAGAAATCAATGTTACCGTTTGCGTACACCACAATCTTGGATCCGACTTCGGCGGGATGCAGTATACGCAAAGAGATTCGGGTAATATCAGTGTAGCAAAGGACAAAAATGGTACAGAAGGCGCGAAATGGGGCGGCTTTGACTCGTTTGCTGAACCACCAGTTGGGATGTTTGCCTACGGCTTTGGCTAGCAAAATGACCAACACCAAAACATACGTTGGTAGGGCGTACATTATTGCCAACTTATCGGCATCGTCCAAACCAGCAGCAAAGCAAACTCCACCTGAGCCTGTCTTGAATTGAAAGTTAGCGAGACCGATGACAAACTCGATGAAAGGATCGAAGTTAAAGCCTGCGGGTGTTATTACCTTCATGACTTGGTAAGAATACAACCAGGCATTCAAGTATCCAGTGAAGAAATCGAGATCAATGAGCATGATCCCCATGACAACAACCAGCAGTATCAGGCCATACAAGAGCAGCAGGAACAGGTACCAGTTAGAACATTTATTCGAGCAACGTTCTCCTCCAAACAAAACGCTGTAATTCGGCTTACAATCTCCGCAAAGCACGCTCTTCTGATCTCTGTTCTCATTGCAAATGCTGGTGGAAATGTACTCATGTTCAGTTTCGTACTGGCTCGAGAGATTACAGTACCCCGTCGGGCAAATATGAGTAACAAATTTGCCATTGACTGATCCTGCCCAGTAGCCATGTTTAAGGTAAAATGTCTTTCCATCAGGTAGGCACCTCGCGACACCATTGTCTGTAGAATCCATACAAACACACATTCTATTCCTCAACGTAAATCCAGGATAACAGTCTTTTAAGGAAAGGTCAGTTATCGTTTCAGTTAATACCTGTCTTCCCATATAATTCAGCTCCACCGAGAACTTTTCGCTGATGTTTCCCACCAATTTTAGATTCGAAATGCTTCCGTTCGCAACAAACAAGGGCGAAGAAGTGCTTAGTTCGACTGAGGAAGGTCTATGCAGTGGATTAACTTTAACCATGAGAATACCAACAACGGAATTGCCGATCTCGTCAAGTAATGAGACAGAGGCATTAAAAACCTCGCTTGGAGCAACATCCCAATCGCTTCTGTCATAGTGTATGTCCACTGGGTCAGTACTCACTTCCTTTGTCAGGGACGTTCTTTTTCCATCTGCATCTTTGAATTCAACGAATTTCCATCGCAACACGGAGTTGTTTTGACGGGCTTCACCAGCTTGTCGACAGTTCTTCAATGTCGTGGCGTAAACCGAATTTCCTGCCGCAAAATACGGCGCTTTGTTGCCTTGAAAGACAACCTTTGTTTCCCATTCATCATAATCCACGGACGAATCCGAGTATCCAAAGAAACAGATGTGAGTGTTTGTGCCAGTCGCATTGAAACCAACCAGAGGCGGTCCAGGGGCGTAGATATACAAAGCTCCCCCTTTGTCCTCACACTCGTTCCCTTGAAAAAGAAGGTAGGAATCTTTGTGAAAAATAATTCTTGAACGTCCATACATGGCTAGGGCACCTCCTCTGAATCCGCTGTTGTTGAAGAAGTACACGTTACCATGTATTTCCATTGTAGAGCCATCTAAGGCTAAGGCAGACTTAGTGTTGTTGATGAAGGTCACGTTTCCCCGAAATATCAAAGGCACTTCGACGCTGTAAAGTGCGCCTTCTCCGATTGTGACGAGTTCCTTCATTCGGATAACTTGATTTCTTAGAAACAACGAACCGTTGAAGCTGACATGGTATGGCACTTCGGGTCCGATTTGATCTTCGTTTTGATTGGATAGGAAAACTCCCATGGCGGCCCCCACTGTTGCAACGTTGTAAAACCAGTGGCATCGGGTGAAATAGAACTGCGTTACATCTGTCTGGTCGGTTATGCCGGGGATGGTCGTCCCAAAAACTGACATTCCACCTCCCCAAATGGCCGTGTTGTTAACGAACGAGCAGTTGTTTACGGTAAAGGTATTCAGATGACGTCCGTCGCCTTCAATAAGATTGCCTAGTCGAGCCCCTCCACCCGCTAGGTCTCCCTCATTATTTTCAAACCATGTGTCTTCCATCGTGAAGATATTGTTTCTGGTTCTTTCTTTCAACTCTAGTGTCAGGCCTCCTCCCCAATGTGCGCGATTACTGGTGAAAACACAAGATTCTATATCAATGGTGCATCCACTTGCATTTGATCGAAGGAATATTGCCAAACCGCCGCCACGACTGAACGGAAGTTCTGGCGTGTCGACGAAGTCACGCTCACCGCTTCCGTTCAACCATACGGCTTCGTTTCTGAGAAAACGGCAATTCCGGAAAATGTAAGAGTTGTTATGCTGAAACGAGTTGTGCGTGCTCGGAGTTACATTGACAGTGTTATGTCCATAAGGATCTAGCCCCAAATAAACACCTCCTCCTGAATAGACATAGTCTATGGAGCCATCTACATCTGGACTTTCATTCATGGATGTTGTGTTACTACGGTGGGCTACATTGTCAGCGAATATGCTGTGTGTAAAATTGACAAAGCCGCCACAATCATAACAATTAAAACCAAGCCCCGGGGAGGATGAGATCTCGACGTTAGAGAGTCGTATATTCCTGCAGTAACGAAAGTCTAAGGCAGCTTTAAAATTGACTCCATCCAGGCCACGATAAGGTTTCTTCGCACCAACTGAGCTTCGATGCCATCCGCCACACTTCTGCAACTTGATTCCCTCGAAGAATATACTGTCGCTCAGTATAAATGAAAGACTTACATTTGCCTCGCACGTTATTTCCACAAGGTCAGGATCGAAACTCTGTCCTACCAGGCCAAAGTTCAACAAATTCGTAAAACTGTAGCTCTTTGCCAGCGTGTAATTGCCATTTGCTGCTGATATTGTTGTCGAGTTTGCCCCCTTTTGGCGTGCTAGTGAGATGGCGAAATCTAACGACTGACAGGGCTGACTCGAATTGCCGCAATGTGGCGAGTCACTTCCGTTTGGTGAAACGAAAATACTTGTCATCCTTTCTGACGCTGCCGATCGGTGATAAATCAAAGAAATGAGACCAGCAAATCGTAAGATAAAAGCGAGCATTCGGATTCCCATCGTGGTCTCTCACATTAACGCATCAACTTTATCAACATTCAATTGTCAGATTCTCGGAAATATTGCACAATTCATTAGACCCGCTGTGTCACGCCATTCCGCACGTAATTCTCTATTTTCCAATTGCCCATAACTCACTCTGTTTGCCCCCCAAATTTTGCATAAACTATTGTTGTGAAATGCTCTTGGGAGGTCTGCATATTCCCAAGAGCATTTCACAACAATAGTTTATGTAAAATTTGGGGGGCAAACAGAGTGAGTTATGGGCAATTGGAAAATAGAGAATTGACGTAAATGTTTACAAAAGGAAAACGATAAAGTAGACGATGATGGAATATTACAGAGAGTTTTAAAGGATTATATGTGACGTTTAAAGTGGCATCGTATCAAAACAAAATTTTTGGATTGCATTACATAAATCTTTGGAAGAGAATTAAAATTATAATTACCTGACCAAAACGATTTCTCGAACACCTCCCTTTATATATTAACCATCGTCAATCAAACACTGTTATTTTACCCCCAATTTCTCGAACTAACGGATTTTTCAAAACTAACTTTCGTTTCCCTTGGAGTATTCCAAAATAGTGAATTGCTGTATGGAGCTAAATCGAAATTTCCGCGGTCGCGTTAAATTTTGGTTTCGTTGCAGCTCATGATCTTTTGCCAGTAAATGTTAACGTAGGAAGGTTTGTTTTTTCCCTTGGTAAATTTTTAAGTTAGAAAAAACGCTAACAGCAGCGAATGCAAAGAAATAGTTCAACAAAGCCTCAAAACTCCTCTTCTAGCTTTTTCGTGCCCATAACAGTTGCGTTATCTTACAGCGTGACATGCGGCACGCGACCGTGACGGGACCCGTGACTACTGTTATAGTTAAATCCCAAAAAACATCAGAAATCCGAAAAACGTCAGAAATCGGTAAATGGTTTCTTGGCAGAAAAAGAAAAACTAACGAAAAAGGAAACGAAAAAACATCAGGAGGGACCAGTAGGATCCAAACTCCTTAAGTCTCGCATGGCGAGTCACCGCTTATCACACTGCGCTACTAGCTTATCAGTTCTCCTCATATGAAAGTTTTAATTATTTATTTACGTACCGCAGGCTCAAGTGTTTCGTTCAATCTATACCTCACTTTTGACCAAGCAAAATTATCTTGCCGTTTTTGGCTACTGCACAAGGAAGACATGTACAGATACATGCAACGTAAAACGCGTAGGCAGGCCTGAGTAACAAACAGTTTCTCAACGTTGAACTTTTTCATTTTGCAAATATCACAACACACCCCTGAATGGAAAAAGGCTTTATGGGCTTGTTCGAAAGCTAGACTGCCCTCACATCACAAGTAGTTCCTAAATGAACAATGCGTCATAAAACTCTTTCGTAATTTATTTTCCAAGTTCAGTGGCTGTGTTTGATTTGTCTTGCAATGAAAAGAAAATTACACGGTCGCTTCAAAAAATGGATATTATTTTCTCGTGTTAAAAACGATGTTTTACTCACTTGCTGTGCTCGTTTGTAAAATGTTGTTTTTGCCACCAGAAAATAAAATTTATATCTTCGCACCGCCGTGTATATCCTCTTTCTAAATAAATAAATAAATAAATAAATAAATAAATAAATAAATAAATAAATAGATAAATAAATAAATAAATATACATTTATATAGCGCCATTTTCCACTAATTGTCCATGGCGCTTTACAATACTTTAAAATTAAGAACCTAAGTTTGAAATCCTAAAATTAAAATCCTAATCCTTTAAAAACCTAAAATCCTAATCCTAAAAATTAAAATCCTAATAAAAAGTAAAAACTACAAATCAAATGCACGCTTAAAAAGATAAGTCTTAAGATAAGTCTTAAGATCTACATATTTTATAATAAAAATTATAATGATTTTAAGGAAAACGACCACCTTTTTGAGTTTAAAAGACATGTTTCGACAGAACTTCTGTCATCTTCAGTTGAATGAATGATTACAAAGCANCGTTCTGTTGTTACTATTTGTCTTAATTAGCATTTTTGCCTACTTATTATTCAACTTGCTTTGTAATCATCCATTCAACTGAAGATGACAGAAGTTCTGTCGAAACATGTCTTTTAAACTTAACAAAGGTGGTCGTTTTCCTTAAAATCTTTACATGTCTGCTGCTATCTAGACCTTTTGGAAAAATTATAATAAAAAAAAGTGATCGAAAGTGGCGCCGAGGGGGGGAGTCTTATTAGAAGAAACTGATGTGGCTTAAACTAATCAATTATAACATATATTAACACTTAGCAAAATGTAAATATCACCTACGTGTAGGTTGCAGTCTAAAAATAAAAAGTAAGGGCATACTTCAACTAGAACTCCCCTTATTACACCGAACACTTAATTACTCTTTGTGCAACGCAACATTATCCCACGTAGAGTATATAGTCAAATTTCGTTAATTATAAGATGTCGAATTGGAATGGGGCAAAGACCAACCTAAACAGGAGTTTCCCTCGCCTCTGATTTTCCCATGAAAGTGAAATCATCACTGGACAATTGTGCGTAACTTAACTTCACCAGAACGTGGAGGTTTATCGTAAAAAAACTAACAATAGCTGTAACAATGGGCCACATAAGCAACGCCAACCCATCCATCCAAACCCACACATCCACCCACCCACTCACCCACCCACGAGTCTCCCTCTCCCATTAATGGAGTTGTGAACTCTGGCTGTGTGAATCATTAGCATACTGTAATGCGAAAGCGGAAATTATAAAGTCTTGATTTTCACTTTTGATTTTGTTTACTTTCTTTTCTTAACTTGCGATCCGGATGAATGGAATAAGCAAATTTACGTCTCTTCCTAAGTAGCAGTGATACTCAAAACTGTAGAAATCAAGAGCAGACGAGCAAGTCTCTAGCTTTAACCAAAGTTTTAACTTGAACTGGCGTTGCCTACTCAACAATGAAACCACGAGAGCATACGTTGGAGAAAGACACAAACAATGCCAGAAATAAATCCCCGTTAATATCTTTGTGATAAAATAGTCCAATGAGGAGGTCTTGTTGTGACATGTTAAGCCGGAACGGAAAACGGAAGTGGGTGAGGGGGGAGGGAAATGGGTACTGAATTCCCCCTCTCGTGTTGGTTTTTGTTTTTTTAAATATTTGTTAAACTCCAGGAAAGGAAAAAATAGTTATTTTCAGAACAGCCTTTAACAAGGGAACCAATAAAACTGCCGCTGCCAAATCTTAAACGTAAACTGGATCAGACCTCAGGGAAACCTTCCCAATATCCTTGACGATGTCTAGACACATTTCTTAGAACTCATTAGCATACCGTGACACTGCCGTTCAAAACTCAACTGTCCACAAAATGATGCGTTTTCGCATAATGCTCTCAACATATATCCTTATTTCGCTTTACTTGCCATCAAAAGCGTCGGGGCACAAGAAAATTTACGTCTCTCCAAATGGCCATGATTCACAGGGTTGTGGAAATTCGACCCAGCCGTGCAAGTCAATCGACGAAGCCTTCGCTATTGCTTTAAATGGATCTGGTGGTGCAAACTCAACACTGATATCAGCTGCAAAAGGAAATTATACGTTGACTAAAACCTTTAATTTCATCAACGTGAACACCTTTGCTTTGGTTGGAGAGGGTTCAAGATCAGACGAGGTAAGAATAACGTGTGAGCCAAACGTAAGTCTGTCGTTCATTCTTTGCCAAAATATTGCTTTCAAAAGTTTCATGTTACATGGATGCGGTGGATGGCGAGAGAGTACGGTAGGAGTTAACAAGTCTCACTCTGCTCACGCTGGACAGAGTCATCAGGGTGTAAAATTTAGGACTGCGTTGGATTTTCGATATTGTCGAAATGCGCGATTCACGAATATCGAGATATCGTTTTCTCCAGGACTTGGTGTTAATCTGTACGATGTCGGAGGTCTTGTAAACTTTACTGATTGCGTGTTGGCAGACAACAAGGCGCTTTCTGCAAACAAGAGTTCAGATGGGTCACTTCAAGAGTTTATTGAAGAAGGCTTTGTGTATTCGGGAGGCGGAATTTACATGATTCTCAACCAGTACGGCAACAACGTTGTCAATGTCACTCCAAGTGAACATGATTCCTTCCAACACAACAACACCTACATCTTCAGGAATTGCCATTTTCTCAGAAATGAAGCTTCCGGTTGGAATTTAAGTCACAAACACGATATTATTGACGATCCTGGTTCCCACTTCAGTTTAGGCGGAGGGCTGGCAATAAATTTTCGAGGAAATGCCAGTAACTGCAACATTACACTCAAGTCTTGCGTATTCCTCGGTAATTACGCGGTGTGGGGAGGAGGTCTTCAAATTCAAACAAGAAATGAAGTAAAAAACAATCATTTTGCAATAGAAAATACTTCGTTTCAGGACAATACCGGTCGTCTAGCCGGAGGAGGTCTGAGGATGGGCAATATACTTCAACGAGGTGCAAGCGACCCTCTGAATACATTTACCTGTGATAATTGTTCATTTATCAGTAACTCGGCGATCTGGGGTGGTGGGATGTCGCTGTATGGAACATCAGTATTATGCCGGATAAACTGTGCCAAGAACAAGACGCAGTTCACTTTTAATCGCTCTAATTGGTCAGGAAATGACGGGACAGTAGGAGCTGCATTGGCAACTATGCTTGCGAACCAAAATAATGTGCAAATTGGACCGGAAATGCCCTACTCAATCAGCTTCAATAACTGTTTATTTTCAAGCAACCAGGTCGTCAAGTTAGACAAAGGTATTAGTATTGGGGAAGGTGCATTATTCAGCGACCAAGTGCTGCTCATATTTCAAGGAACTGCTTCATTTAGAAACAACACCAACACGGCGCTGTCCTTAGATGGGTCAACTGTGGAGATATTTGGTAAAATGAATTTCACTAATAACAAGGGGTACAGAGGAGGAGCCGTGGCGATGCGTGGGCTCTCGAGAGTAATTTTTCAAAAAACCTCTGAGTTAATTTTTTATAACAACTCGTGTGAGAATAAAGGAGGTGCACTGTATATTGAGTCTGCCGGGTCTCCCTTGGTGGATTTCAATGCAACCGGTGTTAACACACACGAATGTTTCTTCGGGTACACAGATGAAAAAGTAGACTTTAACAAGTGGAAGACATCTGTAATCTTTCAAGGCAATAGGGCGGTCGATGATGGTAAAGGAAACTCAGTATACGCCACGACCCTTAGGTACTGTCGGCGACCCGGAGAATCTCGACAACACAACAACGTCCTGAAGTGGAAATTCATCCACTTCAAATTCTTGAATGGGACCGTTACCTCGCGAGATAGTGAAGTAGCAACCGATGCGATAGACATGAACTATGAACGAAACGACTGGGAGGTTGCACCGGGTGAAGTCTTCGATGCAACTGTCAAATTAATTGACGAGATAGGCAACTCCGTCGTTGGAATAGTCGATGTTGATATCCTATCATCGCCAGTTAAGCTCGACACTACTTCGTCCCTGTTTCTTACTGACGGACATATATCTCATCTCAGGTTGGCTGGAAAACCTGGCAGTTTGTTTACCGTAAGTTTGCGCTATGTTGGAAGGCAGGTCTTAGTAGATGCGATCCCCGACATCACAATGCAAAGTTGTCATGAGGGTTTTAAACCTGATGGATCATCATGTTCTTGTATGGACTCTTTAGACGGAGTGGCACGTTGCGACTTGGACGGAAAGACTGTGTACCTTAAGCAGGGCTACTGGGCTGGAAAAGTTGACGGGAAATTTGTTACACACCGCTGCCCCGCTGACTACTGTAACTATACAGAGACCGCCATTCCAGGAGAGTACCAGTACTTCTCTAAACATGTGTGCAAAGGTAACAGAGACCAGAGCAGCGTACTTTGTGGCCAGTGCAAACCAAGCTATAGTGTCTTATTTGGAAACGAAAAGTGCTCAAAGAGCTGTACTAATCGGTGGCTATGGATGATTATTCCCTATGTCATAGCTCTTTTCATAGGGACATGTTTCGTGTTGCTGGTGAATCCAAATCTTTCAAGTGGACATTTAAACGCCTGCTTATATTCGTTTCAAATTATGAAGATACTGACTCCACAGGGGTTTACATTCGACCCCGTTATCGAGTTCCTGGTCGCCCTTTGTAACCTGCAAATCCACATAGGACATGGCATCTGCTTTGCAAGTGGTTTAAACAATGCCGACAAGTTAATCATAATGGCTGCTGTTCCGGTCGTGGAAATTGTTATATTGATGTTTCTTAAGATTCTTTACCCCCTCTGGAGAAGAGCTTTGCAAAGACTCTATGATAGATTACAACAAAGCCAGTGTTGTCGAGGTTCTTGTTGCTGCAGGAATGCTTTCCTGAGATGGTTAGAAAATTGCTGGGAGGCATTCAACGAACGCGGGGAAAATGGTTTCGCTTATGCGTTCTGTACCATCGCCGTTCTGTGCTATGTTGACATTACTCGCATTTCATTGCAGCTCCTGCATCCTGCCAAAGTTGGAGAACAGACCGTGTTGTTTGCTGACGGTCATATAAAATTTTTTGTCAACGGCCATCACATTTTGTATGGAATTATTGCTATCGCACTCATGCTGGGTGTATTTTGCGTTCCTGTCATATTCATCTTTTTTACGGGCTCAAACCGACATCTCGAACCTTTACGAGCCTGTTATAAGACTGGGCGTCATCCTTTTGTCGCCTTCTACCTTGGATGTCGCGTCCTTGTCTTAGTAATCAGCACTTACGTGCCAGATGGCCCTTTGAAAAGTGCTTTGCTACAATTCTGCTGCTTTCTTTTCTTGTTTACCATTGCGGTTGCAAGACCTTATAGAGAAGGTGCACGTGGTAATGAAGCAGAAAATCAAGGTGAGGCAGCTGACGAAACTGTGCAAAACCGGTGGATAAACGAATCAGATCTTACAATCCTGACGACACTGGGCGCCATTGTAGTTCTGAGTTCCCCCATCAGCAGTGGTGTCTCCAAAAGTATAGAAAATGGCTTAACAGTGTGTGTTAAGATATTGGCGTACGCCCCTTTAGTAATGGCGGCCCTTCCATACACCCTAAAAGCGTTCGACGCATTACGTAGTACAAGAAGTGCTCAGGTTCCGGAACCAGGAGACGGGCCTAGCGAACCGGATAGGGATTTGACTGAGCGCTCACCACTGCTAGACAGCGTGCAGCAACAAGGTGTATCAGATCCACATTTGGAAGGGCGTGCACCACTGACAGGTGACACACAACATCGTATACCAAACGAATCAGATATACAGCTTAACCCGCGTATACTAATGTTACAAGGAGACANCAACGTGAACACCTTTGCTTTGGTTGGAGAGGGTTCAAGATCAGACGAGGTAAGAATAACGTGTGAGCCAAACGTAAGTCTGTCGTTCATTCTTTGCCAAAATATTGCTTTCAAAAGTTTCATGTTACATGGATGCGGTGGATGGCGAGAGAGTACGGTAGGAGTTAACAAGTCTCACTCTGCTCACGCTGGACAGAGTCATCAGGGTGTAAAATTTAGGACTGCGTTGGATTTTCGATATTGTCGAAATGCGCGATTCACGAATATCGAGATATCGTTTTCTCCAGGACTTGGTGTTAATCTGTACGATGTCGGAGGTCTTGTAAACTTTACTGATTGCGTGTTGGCAGACAACAAGGCGCTTTCTGCAAACAAGAGTTCAGATGGGTCACTTCAAGAGTTTATTGAAGAAGGCTTTGTGTATTCGGGAGGCGGAATTTACATGATTCTCAACCAGTACGGCAACAACGTTGTCAATGTCACTCCAAGTGAACATGATTCCTTCCAACACAACAACACCTACATCTTCAGGAATTGCCATTTTCTCAGAAATGAAGCTTCCGGTTGGAATTTAAGTCACAAACACGATATTATTGACGATCCTGGTTCCCACTTCAGTTTAGGCGGAGGGCTGGCAATAAATTTTCGAGGAAATGCCAGTAACTGCAACATTACACTCAAGTCTTGCGTATTCCTCGGTAATTACGCGGTGTGGGGAGGAGGTCTTCAAATTCAAACAAGAAATGAAGTAAAAAACAATCATTTTGCAATAGAAAATACTTCGTTTCAGGACAATACCGGTCGTCTAGCCGGAGGAGGTCTGAGGATGGGCAATATACTTCAACGAGGTGCAAGCGACCCTCTGAATACATTTACCTGTGATAATTGTTCATTTATCAGTAACTCGGCGATCTGGGGTGGTGGGATGTCGCTGTATGGAACATCAGTATTATGCCGGATAAACTGTGCCAAGAACAAGACGCAGTTCACTTTTAATCGCTCTAATTGGTCAGGAAATGACGGGACAGTAGGAGCTGCATTGGCAACTATGCTTGCGAACCAAAATAATGTGCAAATTGGACCGGAAATGCCCTACTCAATCAGCTTCAATAACTGTTTATTTTCAAGCAACCAGGTCGTCAAGTTAGACAAAGGTATTAGTATTGGGGAAGGTGCATTATTCAGCGACCAAGTGCTGCTCATATTTCAAGGAACTGCTTCATTTAGAAACAACACCAACACGGCGCTGTCCTTAGATGGGTCAACTGTGGAGATATTTGGTAAAATGAATTTCACTAATAACAAGGGGTACAGAGGAGGAGCCGTGGCGATGCGTGGGCTCTCGAGAGTAATTTTTCAAAAAACCTCTGAGTTAATTTTTTATAACAACTCGTGTGAGAATAAAGGAGGTGCACTGTATATTGAGTCTGCCGGGTCTCCCTTGGTGGATTTCAATGCAACCGGTGTTAACACACACGAATGTTTCTTCGGGTACACAGATGAAAAAGTAGACTTTAACAAGTGGAAGACATCTGTAATCTTTCAAGGCAATAGGGCGGTCGATGATGGTAAAGGAAACTCAGTATACGCCACGACCCTTAGGTACTGTCGGCGACCCGGAGAATCTCGACAACACAACAACGTCCTGAAGTGGAAATTCATCCACTTCAAATTCTTGAATGGGACCGTTACCTCGCGAGATAGTGAAGTAGCAACCGATGCGATAGACATGAACTATGAACGAAACGACTGGGAGGTTGCACCGGGTGAAGTCTTCGATGCAACTGTCAAATTAATTGACGAGATAGGCAACTCCGTCGTTGGAATAGTCGATGTTGATATCCTATCATCGCCAGTTAAGCTCGACACTACTTCGTCCCTGTTTCTTACTGACGGACATATATCTCATCTCAGGTTGGCTGGAAAACCTGGCAGTTTGTTTACCGTAAGTTTGCGCTATGTTGGAAGGCAGGTCTTAGTAGATGCGATCCCCGACATCACAATGCAAAGTTGTCATGAGGGTTTTAAACCTGATGGATCATCATGTTCTTGTATGGACTCTTTAGACGGAGTGGCACGTTGCGACTTGGACGGAAAGACTGTGTACCTTAAGCAGGGCTACTGGGCTGGAAAAGTTGACGGGAAATTTGTTACACACCGCTGCCCCGCTGACTACTGTAACTATACAGAGACCGCCATTCCAGGAGAGTACCAGTACTTCTCTAAACATGTGTGCAAAGGTAACAGAGACCAGAGCAGCGTACTTTGTGGCCAGTGCAAACCAAGCTATAGTGTCTTATTTGGAAACGAAAAGTGCTCAAAGAGCTGTACTAATCGGTGGCTATGGATGATTATTCCCTATGTCATAGCTCTTTTCATAGGGACATGTTTCGTGTTGCTGGTGAATCCAAATCTTTCAAGTGGACATTTAAACGCCTGCTTATATTCGTTTCAAATTATGAAGATACTGACTCCACAGGGGTTTACATTCGACCCCGTTATCGAGTTCCTGGTCGCCCTTTGTAACCTGCAAATCCACATAGGACATGGCATCTGCTTTGCAAGTGGTTTAAACAATGCCGACAAGTTAATCATAATGGCTGCTGTTCCGGTCGTGGAAATTGTTATATTGATGTTTCTTAAGATTCTTTACCCCCTCTGGAGAAGAGCTTTGCAAAGACTCTATGATAGATTACAACAAAGCCAGTGTTGTCGAGGTTCTTGTTGCTGCAGGAATGCTTTCCTGAGATGGTTAGAAAATTGCTGGGAGGCATTCAACGAACGCGGGGAAAATGGTTTCGCTTATGCGTTCTGTACCATCGCCGTTCTGTGCTATGTTGACATTACTCGCATTTCATTGCAGCTCCTGCATCCTGCCAAAGTTGGAGAACAGACCGTGTTGTTTGCTGACGGTCATATAAAATTTTTTGTCAACGGCCATCACATTTTGTATGGAATTATTGCTATCGCACTCATGCTGGGTGTATTTTGCGTTCCTGTCATATTCATCTTTTTTACGGGCTCAAACCGACATCTCGAACCTTTACGAGCCTGTTATAAGACTGGGCGTCATCCTTTTGTCGCCTTCTACCTTGGATGTCGCGTCCTTGTCTTAGTAATCAGCACTTACGTGCCAGATGGCCCTTTGAAAAGTGCTTTGCTACAATTCTGCTGCTTTCTTTTCTTGTTTACCATTGCGGTTGCAAGACCTTATAGAGAAGGTGCACGTGGTAATGAAGCAGAAAATCAAGGTGAGGCAGCTGACGAAACTGTGCAAAACCGGTGGATAAACGAATCAGATCTTACAATCCTGACGACACTGGGCGCCATTGTAGTTCTGAGTTCCCCCATCAGCAGTGGTGTCTCCAAAAGTATAGAAAATGGCTTAACAGTGTGTGTTAAGATATTGGCGTACGCCCCTTTAGTAATGGCGGCCCTTCCATACACCCTAAAAGCGTTCGACGCATTACGTAGTACAAGAAGTGCTCAGGTTCCGGAACCAGGAGACGGGCCTAGCGAACCGGATAGGGATTTGACTGAGCGCTCACCACTGCTAGACAGCGTGCAGCAACAAGGTGTATCAGATCCACATTTGGAAGGGCGTGCACCACTGACAGGTGACACACAACATCGTATACCAAACGAATCAGATATACAGCTTAACCCGCGTATACTAATGTTACAAGGAGACAACTCCGAATCCAGATTTGTCACCGCTGAGGAAGAACAGGATGTATGGAAGACAGCCGCCGAAAGCCTCACGTCAGAGGATGTATAATCGCACAAGACAAACCTTACTTTTGTTTTGGACTGTCTCCGGAATCTGATGAGTGTCCTACGTACGGATGTGAAAGGAACTGAAACAATTGCTCGTTCATCTTTGTCGACGAAATTAGGAATTTCTAATTTGGGGCCCAGTCCAAGGATTCTGGTATAAGCGAAGTTTGTGCGACAAGTGGCGGACTTATGAGGGAGATGCTAATAAAGAAATTATTACCTCGATTGACAATTACGCTGGGAACTCGGTCTAAGTAGATTGATAGTAGCCGAATTTATGAATTATTGATAGTGCCGGATCATGATCTCCACACAAAGAGACTTGTGTGGTGGTGCATGATTGCACTGCTAACTATAAAAGTGCCTTATATAAAATAGGAAATGATATAAACAGGAACTGTGTCCGATTGCAGCATTTTCATTAGCATACAAATAGTATTCTACCAGCATACCATTATGTGTTTTACAAGTTACTCGAGTTGGCCCTCCATCATCCCAAATTAGTAGGGAAAATCCCCGCGTTCCCACCCAACAAGGGATATTATTTCCTTGACTTTCTGTTCTATATCATCTTCGTTTAACTGATAATACGACAAACAATGATTTGACATTTATATATCGCTATGACGTTAGAATTCTAAAGCGTAGGAATTAAGTTTAGTTCCTTAGTGGATGCTTTTTCCAAAAAACAGAACAGTTTTATAACACGATAACTCAAGATTAAGATTGCTTCTATGCGTATGCTATGATTAACCAGCGACATTTTGTAGACTATGATTTTTTATTTTGCAGTGAATAAGTATGTAGAGGTATCAAATAAGACTTGATGTTATTTTTCTTGATATTTTATACGTTCTTATTCTTTTCTTCAAGTTACTTATTATGTTATCTATTTTTAAGAAAAACTGGTGTGATGTCTCGCGATTTTTATTTCGCGACAAAACTAACTGTAAATGTAGATGCAGATACGTATTGCGCTAGGTTTGCACTAGGGCTTGGGGGTTCAAGGTGTGGTCAACACTATCCACTGGAATAATTAATCACTCGATAGTATATTTAGATTATTCTTTAAGCGGATAGCTTTGTCGATACATTGCTTTAACAGTCTTTTTTTTCTGACACCTCTGTAAAATTAATGTTTGTGAGCGTTTGAATTAAAATTGAATTGAATTGAATTGTATTGAACAACAGTAGCTAAACGTAAAGATTCAGAAAGTAGCGCGAGCTGGGAAGTAGCGCGAGCTTTGCACTAGTGAGCTCAGCTCACTAGTGCAAAGTTAGAGTGCCAGGAGCAAACTATACTGGCGGATCGCACTGGGCATACCAACTATGGGGTCCGGAGTCATGCTCTTCCGGAAATACGCATATCTTCTAGAATGTTTGGGAATAAATCTGAAACTGCTTCGCGATTTAGAATTCACACCATCAGACAGCATCGCAGTTTGGGCATGTTGGGCATGCGTATGTAACTCAATCATATTACATTTGACGAAATAAATGGATTCAAATTTGACCCGTCTTTTTAAAATCTCTGTTAGATTTCTTGAGTAATTCCCTCTTTCACTCGTCTCCAAATCAAGGGATTCTCTCCCTCTCCCCCTCCCCCCTCAACATCTTCAGGATCTCTCTCCACATCTTTAGGATCTTTCCCATTGGGCGATTAATAGTGACCGGTTTTAGTTTAACCCCGTCCTTTCATACCAGAGTTAAAAACCTTGTGCCTGCTTGTAATTCTATCCCGTTGCTGCACATTATGGAGCCATCTGCAGTGGGCTTACAAGACATATTCGGCTCTCTCAAAAATTACCATTAGTCTTGTCTCCACCAAATTTTCATTTTGTAAAAGTCTCCAAACCTAAAAAAATCAACAAATTATTTGCTAACCGCAAAATTTCCACCAGAAAGGAAACTAAACACATGCTGATCGCGGCGAAACAACTTAAACGACCTTTTCCTTAAAGTAAATAGTTCTACAAGCTTTTATAATAATTCTCAGCTCGATCAAATACCGTCGGCACTTTTAATATGAAACTGATGGCAGATATTTTTGCAAAATAAACACAGAATTTCCCCACAGAGGGGGGCCCTAACTCTGTCGAGTCCACCCGATTTTGGCATGTGAGTTATGCCTTTTGGTAAAATTCAGGAACTTAGTTATCACATCTCTGGGTGTCGCTGCTGTTCAAAGAGATGCATCGGTAAGGCATTTCATTATTAACTTACACAGAGCACGTGAAAAGTAGGAATAAAGTTTGTTGATGGAGCTATAAAAATGAGTACTTGTGTATACTGGGTAGGAAAGTTGGATGGTGGATTAAAAGGAATGTACGGGAAATGCTACGTAAAAGATAAACCAAATAACCAGTTCTAGATCTGCTATGAAGTAAAAAGAGAGCATCATTGGAAAGTTGGACGGTGGATTGAAAGGAATGTACGGGAAATCCTACGTAAAAGATAAACCAAATAACCAGTTGTAGATCTGCTATGAAGTAAAAAAAAAAAACCATCATTATTAACAATACCAATAAAGGCCGACGCAATAGTGCATTGGCTTTGAAAGCCAGTACTCAAAAAGATAGTCCTTAGACCAGTATTTTCCGGAAATATTTATTGCATGAGCCTGTTAACTGGCTTCATGGAGTTCATAGGGTGACCTCACTGCCCGATTTATCATACCGAGCTTAGTAAAGACAGTAAATAGTACGCAAATGCGATGCAAATAATTTTGCGATTGTTTTAAACCATATTGAATTCCACACCTGAAAAGTTATTTTCATATAGATCATACAAGGAAGACTTGCGTTACAGCGTATTGTTGCGGACTGAATCACAAAAGTACGGAAAATTGCGCGATTTCTGAGAAAAAAATAGTTATAGTTTACGTTGACATCGTAGTGTTAGACCAGTGTTGTTGTGCAAAGAACATCGTTACGTTTTTGTGGATTTTTTTTTCATGAATTCGACGAGATGGCATTAGGAAGGAGCGATAATCATGTAAAGAGCACTGCAGTATTGTCCTGTAATGCATCAGCGGTTTAGAGAATCAAAGATTGAAGTTGTGATGCTACCCCTAAAGGCAAACAGTTATTTCAAGCTGTTATGCAAGAAAACGCGAAAAAATGGCAAGCTCCTGGTAGATGAGCCCAGAAACCGGTCCGGAAACGTTCCTAAAAGCACAAAGAGCAGTGTCTGAGGTTCTTGACCGACAACGCTTTAACACAGCAGTATCTTGTGCAATTGCGGCTTTTACAAAGCGTAAGCTAAAGACAGTCATCTTCAAAACAGGTGGAAGGCCGATCTAGAACAGTTTAAAGACTTCAAAGCAGATCATTTTCTGAACACACTATTGTATATTGGCCAAATACGTTACAAGTCTTTCTCATGCTCTCTTGTCAAAATCTTGACAAAAGAACCCACCAACACGTAGAGTCTCTTCGCAAAACAACATTCCAAATGAGACTCTTTTTTCTGAGAAATCACGTGATTTTGCATACTTTTGTGACTCAGTTGCCAAATTTGGAGAAGGTGTAACTCAGGCCTTTCTTGCGTGATCCATATAAAAATAAGTTTCCATGTGCAGAATTTAGCAAATAATTCAATTTAGGACAATCAAAAAATTATTTGTGTCACTTTATTTATTTTTTTTTGTTTTTTTTGTTATAAAACGTCGATCCAGAACAGTTTTGTCCAGCGTACTGTGTGAGGTTTCATAAGAATCCATTGCAAACTCATGACGATATTGGACCTCGTAAACATTTCTTCGTAAAAATTGGCTAGTTTGTGCCCAAGATTTTGTGTGAGTTTGCAACGGATTCTTATGAAACTCTCTATAATTACTAAGTTTGGCATGTTTTTTTTTTTTTTTGCATTTTATTCTTTTTATTTGAAGGTTGTACAAGGATTATAAGCAAAAAAGTTACTATAATGCTAGTTTTACAATTTTACATAAAAGAAGGAAAAAAAAAATGAAAAGGACGAAAAAAGGAAGCAGAGAGGCCAATTAAATAGATCTCTACATACACTATCACTATCACTATTTGAAGATGATATGAAAAATACGAAAAATTGTTGACATTCAGAAACATCGTCAAAACCCATGTTGTAATATCTGGTTATTTGGGGTACATGATGAAATTGTTTTCGGGGTTTTTGGACTGGTCCTGTTAAACACGTTGCATATTACCTTGACTACCACTGATCAAAACAAGTACAGTACACCTTTCATTTCTAAAGGAACAGTGCATGTTTGTGAGCGAAATATGATGCCAGGTTTTCAAGCTCTTCAATGCTGAGCAAGCACATCTTCCAAATGAAAAAAGCACCGCATGCAAATCCCTAAGGTGAGTATCAAACGTTTACAGCTTTGCTCTAAACTTGTAAAAACTGTAACAAACAACAGTTTATATAGTTCGTATATAAACTTCCTGGGTTCAAACCATTTACTGTGAACAGTTTATATGTTACAGTTAATCTGTAGGTAGATTACTGCAACATCACATCACCAGAAACATTACAGTTCTATTTTGCTACGCATACCATTTCGGCATACAGCATGACAGTTCTCCCTCAGATGCACCACAGCTTTCAAAGATGTGTGGTCGATGGAGGGCAAAAACAGAACACGGCACTATTAACAACCCACCGGGGATGACTGATGCTGTAGCCAAGTGGTCGTTTTATTGCCTACTTTATTTGGCATAAGGCCTCTTTTCCGTCAAGGACTCTTTGCTTGCCAGAAATATGCATCATCTAATTATAATCTTATTGTGATTACGAAGATTGATCCCATCAATCTTTGCACAAGTGTACACCAGACAAAACTGCTCTGGATCGACGTCTTAAGACAATCTAAGTGACGCATTCACATATGGATCATTATCATCAAGGCCGAGGACTTGCATCACTGCGTATCAAAATTTGGTAACTGAATCATAAAAATGTGCAAAATCAGGTGGTTTCCCAGTCAAAAGAGTCGCATTCGTTATATGCATGTGGATTTTTTTGTGAACAACTTAACAAGAAAGCATGAGAAAGACTTGACAACTAATGCGGCCATTGAAATGCGATACTGCCTTCAGATATTCACCTTCTTAAAACTGTCCTTGCCACTAGTTCGATCTTCCAACTATTTTGAAGATGCCAAACTGTAGCGCGTGTTTCGCACAAGCCACAAAATGCTGTTGTGATTAATAAACTTCAGAGACTGTTCTTTGTGTTTCTCGAAAAGCTGCCGTACCTGATTCTGGGCTCATGTACCAGAAACTTGCCATTGTGTAACATTTTCTTTCATGACAGCTTGAAATAACTCTGTTACATGGGTTTGCCGTCTGGCCTTTCGCTGAAAGTATCACAATCTTTGATTCTCTACACTGTTGAACTATCACAGAATTATAGTGCTGTTTAGATGAATTATTGCGCCTTCCGCATGCTTTCTCGTCGAATTCATTCCAAAAAATCCGCAAACAAGTAGCGATGTTCTTCGCACAACAACAGAACTCGAACACTTCGATGTAAATGAAGAACGGGATCTTTATTTTTTCTCAGAAATCACGTGATTTTCCGTGTTTTTTGTTTCGTTTCCTCAGAAACGAAACGGTATTGTTTTCAGTTCAGGGGTGAACTATTTACATAGTGATTTGTCATATCCAATTAGAGTAAAGTGCCCAATTGTTCATGTAAATACGGTGGAAATTCGGTCACCGCAACAAAATGTGGCGTTCCGAACATTTCAATTGCTGCTTTATTCGAACACGGGGAATTACGACTGAAACTCTCGTTTTTCGTCATGAAAATACACAACAAAACTACACACTGGCCTTCTATTCGGATAGTAACAGTGAAAAGGAAGTTTATTTTGGAGGTAGAGGGACCGCCAGACCACGCGATTTGTCCACTAATGCGATGATGAAAGTAGTTCGTTTTGGTTAGTTCAACGAAGAAATGGTACTGTTTTCCGTTTCAGAGTGATTTATTGCCATAGTGAGTATGAATGTAATCAGCGAGTAACGCTTGTAATTCACAAGGTAAACATGTTCAACAAAAATAACTTGTTGAAACTAAATTTAATGTCATATCACGGAAACAAAAGGAACTTAAAATGACATACTGCGATTCATACAGGTAGAAATAATTGGCCCCTTAAATGGTTCTAAGTCAGACTGAAACGATGTATTTTAGATGGCCGTCGAGAAAAACCGTAACATGGAACATTGCGGAACTAGAGAAACTAAAATATTTATTTCCGTGCTTGTTTAAAATGTGATAAAGATCACAACTACGGCAACATAATTTTGGCCAATCAGAACACTTGTCAGGAAAACAATCCCGCCCCTTCTCTGTGGCTGTTTACGGGAAAAGAACACGCACACGCACTTGGATTGAGCGGCACTACTACACACAGATACGAGATGTTGTGAAAGGTAAGTAATTCATGATATTGTATTTAATTAACGTTGGTATATTGCAAAATAGATACAATATGGCTTTCTTATAAGGTTTAATTGGTATCGTAGGTGTCGACATTTTCTGCCGCAACTCGAGTAATTTTAGTTACAGCTCATACATGTACGCGGTGATGAAAATTTGTATTTTGACGTACCGCGGCATCTCAGCAGCTGCCTTCCATGAAAAAAACAATATGCCACTGTATTTAAGCTTCATAATATTCAAACAAAACTGGAGGAATAATTACATAACTGACGTCCTCACACGTAAGACTTCCTTTTTGAAAAGAAAATATAGTGCGTTACTGACAACAAAACGTCAAGTGCCGCACCATTCGAATCAAGCGCTAACACAGAGATGGAAAAATTAAGCGTCAAATGCTTTTGTCCCGCAGCTTTATTTAGCGTCACATAAAATACTTTGCTTTGAATTTATGTCAGATAATAGGGTGCCGCCTTCGAATTCCGAAGCATATGAAAATTTATATTTTGACGTGCCGCAGCATTTCAGAAGCTGCTTTCCATGAAGAAAATCGATACCCTTTGTATTTCAGCCTCATAATATTCAAGCAAAAGTGGAGGAATAATTCAATACGCAACTGTCGTCACATGTACGACTTCCTTTTTGAAAAGAAAAATATACAGCGTCACTGACAACAAAACGTAAAGTGCGGCATCCATTCGGAATCAAGCGCTGAGTAACAGTGAAATGGAAAAAGTAAGCGTCAAATACTGCGTAAAATACCGTTTTCAAAAAAGTTGTCATTCATTTCACGCATCTGAAACTTGAAGACCAACTCCCGTTGTGTAAGTCAAACGTGGACAACTGTACCCTCAACACGCAAAGCCGAGTGCGCATGGGGAGGAGGGGGGGGGGNTTACTCCCGAAAAAAAAAAATGGGCGGGGTGTGCGACCCGCTTTCCAAAACACTGACCAAAATCGCCAAAATTGATTCCCTATTTCTGACCAAAATTTGCAAAAAATCCATACCCTTTAAGGCTGCACATACCTATATAGCCGATATAAGGGAGTACCCCCTCCCCTGAGGCAAAGTGAAAGGGAAGTATGTGTTTACTGTAATAACCGATACTTGTCTGGACAACTGAAATTAATGAGCCCTTTCTCTTTTACAATAGGTTCAGTACATTTACAATAAGAGATTCTAAAGGTAAGAGATTCTTTTTCTTTGTACTAAGTTTTTGTTGTGATTACAATGGAAAACACCAGAGGGCATTTATTCGAACCTATGAATCGGTTAAGAATTGCAGCACTTGCTGATTTTGAGACACTAGTAGTTACTGCAGCACTTGAAGAACAGATATATCACAGTTAACCATTACCTGACACAT